TATGTAGGTATGTGGGTATGTAGGTATGTAGGTATGTAGGTATGTAGGTATGTATGTATGTATGTATGTTTGTTTGTATGTATGTATGTATGTATGTATGCATGCATGCATGCATGTATGTATGTTCATGTATTTATATACAGATAATCTGCATTTTTGCATTCGATATAGATAGGGGCCTGGGCTCCCCCCTTCCCGGGGACCGACATGGCCCCCCCGGGACAGCGGGCTGGTTTCTAGGCTCCAGGGGGACTCTTTGGGCCCCTTGAGGCTTTAGCGATGGCTTACGATGACGGCAAGGAGCCGCCGAGACGGCCCAAGATCGTTCCAAGACGCCCAGGATGGTCTCAAGACTGCCCTAGAGGTCCCCAGGACGGCTCAAGAGCGGCCCCAAGAGGACCTTCAGCCATGCCCCAACAAGCAAACATCGTGGGTTGTCCCATGGATTTCGGCAGATTTTGGTGTTCTTGCCTTTCCGGGCCTCCGACAGCCCACGACGGTCCCACCGGCCTGCGAGATAGCCCCAGGATGGCCCAAGGGATCCCGAAAGAGCTTCCAGATGCGGGCTCGCTTCCTTTTGCGAAGAGGGGTGGGCCAGGGCTGGACTCAAACGCTGTTTTGCCGGACTGCGGCTGTGTTTTGTTTTTCGTTTTGGGAGGGAGTTACAGGAAAGCAGGTCGAGCGAAACGAACAACGACACGACACCAAAGCGAAAAACAACGTGTAGGTCCAGCCCTGGGGTGGAGCGGGGAGGGGCTGGTTGCCGGCGGGGGGCGCCGCGGAGTGGGAGGGGGCGAGGCGGGTGGGAGGAGGCGCCGCGTGTGGGAGGGGGTGGGGGTGCGGCGCCGCGGACCGCTGCGGGAGCTGAGGAGGAGGAGGAGGAAGTGGAGGAGAAGAAAAAGAAGAAGACGAATAGCAATAATGAACATACGACGAATACGAATAATAATAAGACGGACGCATCAGAACGCAAATAATCACATTTATACGAACGCTAATCATAAGAAGACGCATGAGAAGCATACGAACAAAACTAACATGAGTACTACTAAGAACACTGAACATGATAATGCCAAGAAATCATAAACGACTACTACCAAAAATAACCATAACTATTAGAAGCCCCAATTGTAATACTAATATTCAGAATACTAATATTCATTGTATTATAACTAGTCGTCATACTACTAAGAGTTATTATACTAATGACGCAATTGAGAATATACTATGGATCTTACTTCTAATTCAAATAATATCAATATTAATACTAATAATATATGATTAATTCTACGGGTAATGATCATCATAATAGTAATATAGAAAAAGGGAAGGAGGAGGAGAAGGAGGAGGAGGATGAGGACGGGGAGGAAGAGGGAGGGGAGGGGACGGTGAGGTCGCCGAGTGCGAAAAGGAGCAATTACATGGAGGAGCGCCTCTCCCTCCTCCCACTTCCACTCTTCCGTTTGCTCACTCTCCCGCACAATAGCATTCCTGCTCCTCCTCCTCGAGTTCCTCCTGGCCCTCCGCCCAACAGTTGGTGGCGCACGCACAGGGGCGTGAAGCGGGGGGGTACATTCTAAGCAGACAGGGGGGCTTCGCAGGAGTCGGCGGCTTCCAGGGAGGCCTCTGGAAGTCCTCCGATCCCTCGCCCGAGAGGCCCCCTTTTGCCCTCCAGGAGTGCCGCCCTCCCCGCGTCGCCTGCCTTCTGAGTGAGCCTCGCCAGCCTCCTTGCCCTCCCGCCGGGGCCTTGAGCCGCAGGGTGGCCCACGGGAGGCCGGTCGATATGTGTCCCCAGCGCTCCGAGGCTCTCAAGGCACGGGGGCCAACGCAAACGGGGGTCAGCCAGAGCGCTGGACTTTGCAGGATCCTGCAGAGCCAGGGGTGCACTGACCCGGCTTAGGGCGCAGGATCTTGCAGGATCTTGCAAGGCCCGACTGGCCCGGGCCAGGGCGTCCTCGACCGTCTCGCTCTCCCCTCTTCGTTTGGCGGGAGTGCAGTGGTCGAAAACTGCAACTTTTTCGACGTGTGTGTGGGGGGGCCGTGGCTGTCCCAGGGCGGCCGGGCAGGTTTTGCCCCCGCCACGGAGCTGAGGGGTGCAAACTTTCCGGCCGCCCTGGGCAAGGCGTCCCCGACGCAGCTCGTGTTCTACCGTTATTCGTCCGCAAATTCATTCTCCTTCCTGTCCTCCCTTCCTCGCTCGACGCAAACCCTCAACGGTAGCAGGCGGGGACCCTTGGGTCGTATTTGGAGGGGCCTTTTCCTGAAGATTCTTCAGGCTTACGCCACATCCGCCGACCCCTTATGAAGACTCGCGCACTGGTCTGGTCGCCTCTTTGGGTGGTCTGAGGCCTCTGGGCCATTCTTGGGGCATTCTTGGGTTGTCTTGGGGCCCCTTAGGCCGTCCTGTGGCCGTATTGGGCTGTCTTGGGGCTCTCTTGGGCTGTCATCGGCCTCTCTTGGGCTGTCATGGGGCGCTGTGGGCGTTCTTTTCGGCCGTCTTGGCCGTCGCCATCTGTTGCCGAGGACTGGTATGCCCTTGGTGACCTCAGAACTGCTTTGCGGTGTCTTTTGGAACCGTCAGGGGCGGCCGTGGGGTGACCTTCAATCGTTTCAGGCCATTGTGAAGCTATCTTGGCCCTTCCTGACCTTAAGCGGAACCGTCTCGGCGTTCTCTGAGGCTGTTTTGGCGCGCCATGAACCTCTCGGGAGCCGTCCTGGAGCTCTCGCGGGTCGTCCCGTCGCCTGGTGGACCCTCTTGGCGCGACCTGGAGGCGATCTGGGGGATTTCGGGGTCAGGTGGATCCGGTGGGGCCTTCGGCCAGGGCCCTCCCGACGATGATGACGGCGACGCTGATGATGAGGAGGAGGAGGGCGACGACGACGAACAGGGTGATCATGATTATGATGATGAGGAAGAAAAGTAGGATGATGAGGAGGAAGGCGAACAAAATACATAGCCGTCATGCGTGACAACTGTCGTGTGTTCACTTCTCGAGGAGCCCTTATTGAAGAGGGGACCCGACACATGTGACACCTTTCGTCGTCACTTCTCGAGGAGCCCTCGTGGACTTCAGCGCGCGACCTAAACGCTGTTTTGCTATATGTTTGGAGTGGTTTGGTTTGTTGTTTTGTTTTTTGTTCTAAACATGTTCTGTTTTTTGGTTTAAACGAATCCAGCAAACGACGCCCATCAGAGTTCGGAGTGATGCGTCCTGCTGTATGTTGTGTTTTGGCGCCAGCGACGCATCGTTTTCGGAGCCCTTTTGGGCCGTCTTGGACGTCTGTTGGCCCGTCTTGGGGCCCTCTAGGGCTATATGGGGAACCCTCTTGGAGGCGTCTTGGGCCGTCTGGGAGTGGGTTTGGGGGGCTCTGGGGCCGTCCAGGAGCGGGGGACACCCCAAAAGGCGCACGTGTGAAAAAATATACGTTTTACAAAGGGAACGGGCGATTTTTTGCGTCTAGAGGGCCTTTTGGGGCGAATCTTGGATGCCTCTTGGGCCGTCTTGGGGGGCCTGTTGAGCCGTCGGGAGGCCGTCGTCGATGTTTGTGATCGCTCTTGGACCGTCTGGGACCGTGTGGAGCTTTGTGGAGGCCACTCGGAACGCTCCTGGAGCGCTGTTGGGGCCGTTTTCGGAGCCCTCTTGGGCCTGTTGGCCCGTCTTGGGGCCCTCTAGGGGTATGTGGGGCACCCTCTGCGAGGCTCCTGGGGCCGTCTGGGAGCGGGTTTGGGGGCCTCTTGGGCCGTCGGGGAGCATCGGAAAAGGCCCAAAGCCGAATTTGTGAAAAATGTACGTTTCACGAAGGGAATGGGTCAATTTTTGCGTCTAGAAACCCTCGTGGAACGCATCTCGGAGGCCCTCGGGGGGGCTCGTGGGGGCCTCTTCTGCCATCGAGGACGCCTCGTGGCCCGTTTTTGGGCCACCTTGGGCGGCTTGGAGCGCTCGTTGGGCGTCCCAGAGCCATGTCGAGGCCACCAGAGGAGTCCCTGCATGATTTTCACGAGGTTTTGCACGATTTTCGGGAGCGGATGATCCCTCCGTTCCCATCCGGGGGATCCGGCCCGACCCCCCCCCCGCCCGGATGACCCCTCCGTTCCCATCCGGGGGATCCGGCCCGACCCCCCCCCCCTCCAAATCGACCGGACCGGGCTCCCGGGGGAGGGGTTTGGGGAGGGGGAACATCTCACACGCCGATGAACCCCAAGGGGTCGGCCTTTTCCTGAAGATTCTGACTGCTACTGACAGGACAGCTCGCCAGAAACCGCCAGGATGATATGACACCGTCGTGTTGCTATTCAAGTGGTTTTCGCCTTTCCGCCGACCCTCAGCGGAGTAGATACGTCCAGGGCGTTCGGTGGGCTATGCTGGAGCTGGAGTGGCTGGGTATTTTGTTCACGCCCGCGAGGGTGGAGGAGATGGAGGAGTTGGGACCCCGCCGAAAGGGCGTCATGCCAGGATTCCAAGAGAGCGGGCACTACGGCCCGCTCGAGCTGAGCTCTGGCCTCTAGAACCTGAATCCCCACCGGCTGGGGGGGGGGCTCTTGGGCCAGCGAGAGCCCAAAGGAGGCGAGTAGGAGAAGGAGGAAGAGGATGAGGAGGAGGACGAGGAGGAGGAGGAGGAGGAGGAGGAGGAGGAGGAGGAGGAGAGGAGGAGGAGGAGGACGATGGTGAGGAGGAGGAGGAGAGAGGAGGAGGAGGAGGAGGAGGAAGGAGGAGGAAGGTGGTGGTGGTGGGTGAGGAGGATGAGAGGAGGAGGAGGAGGAGGAGGAGAGAGGAGGAGGAGGAGGAGGAGGAGGAAGGAGGAGGAGGAGGAGAGGAGGGAGGATGGAGAGGAGGAGAGGAGGAGGAAGGGGAGGAGGAGGAGGAGGAGGAGGAGGAGGAGGAGGAGGAGGAGGATGAGGATGGAGCAGGAGGAGGAGGAGGAGGAGGTGGGAAGAATGAGGGTGGAGGAGGAAGGAATGAACTTCTCTTGCGACTCCTGGTTTTCTCCGCCCTCTCCTCGCTCGAGCTGCGATGCTCAGCTGCCTGCCTGGCGGGCCGCGCTGCGCCGCCAGCTGCCTGGATGGGCCCGCCTGCGCCAGGCGTCGCCCGCGGCCCGGCAGCTCCGATGTGCCCGCGGAGATACCTGCGCAGGCCGGCCGTGGCCTTCGCCGTCGCCCTCGTCGTCGTTTTCGTTTTCGTCCTCGTCCTCGTCGTCCTCGGCCTCCCCCTCCTCGTCCTCTCCTCGTCGTCGTCGTCGTCTTCCTCCTCCTCCTGCCCAAAATTCTCTTCCTCCTCTCCGAGGCAGGGGTTTATCCAGAACCACCGCCTGGGGGATCGATCTTCGCGGACCTCGGCAGGCGGTGGATGCGGATCTGTCCGGGCGCCCTGGAGCCATCATGCATCCATGTCCACTCCCCACTGGTGTGTGTCCCAGGACGTCGGGCCCACGGGCGGTGGATCATTTATGTATGTATATATATATATACACATACACATCTGCAGATGCACATTCATATATATATATATATATATATACATATGTCGCCGCTTTGCATCCTCCTCCTCCTCCTCCTCCTCCTGTCCAGTCATTCATCCCCCCTCCCCTGCTCGCCCTCCTCGTCCCTCCCTCTCTCCTTCCCCCTCCCTCTCCCTCTCCCCCCCACTCCCCCGCTGCCCCCCAGAACGCCCCCCCGTCGCCCAAAGAGCGTCGTCGTCGTCCTCCCCCCTCCTCCTCCCCCCTCCCTCCTCCCTGTACTCCCTGCCCCCCCCTTTTTGGGGGCACTCCTCTCCCCACCCCCTGTCTCCCTGGTGCGACCTTTCAAAACGTAGTGTGCCCGCATGGTCCGAAAACACCACTCTGCCCATGGGACCAGCCAACCGCCCGCCCTCCCTCCATGCTTCCCTCCTCCCTCCTTCCTCCCTCGTCTCTCTGCCCTACTCCTCATCCTCCCCCCTTTCTGGAGCAATGCCAGCCTGAACGATTTGGGCGCTCGTTGTTCGACACAGTCGCCGCCGTTATGAGGTGCTTGGGAGCTAGTTTGTCGGACGCGCCAGCGCGCGGCAGTGCCGCCAGCGACTGGCTTGCTGGTGAAAGATGAGATGGTAAAACCTACGGGTCCACGTGTACAAGTTGTGGTGAGTGCCAGTGCAACTCGGTGCCAGAAGCTCGGGGCAAACGTTGTGTCTGCGGGCGCCAGGTGAAATTGCATGAACGCAAACGCGCGTCCAATGATCACAAGGTGAGGAGACTCGACCCACTGCCGCCGAAGTCCCGGAGCAAGAACGGCACGGACAGGGCCCACAGCGGCGACTCGGCTTCTTTGCTCAAGCAGACGCTGAAGGCGATGACCGATCCTCTCCTGTAAAAGCACATCGGTGCTGAGCTGCAGAAACGAAAGGAGGCCCAGAAACCGACGCAGTCCCCAGAGGAGGCGGTTCGCCAAACTTGAAGGGCTTGGCGCGGTGTGACGATGCAGCAGGACCAGACGGTTGCAGCCGTGCTCGAGGCCCGAGAGGACCCCGAACGATCTGAAACCAAAGAGCGGGCAGGTGCTCTCAGCTCGGCTCGTGCGGAGGAGCCGAGGCGCAGGGCGGCGCAGGTAGAGGCTCACCAGCGGGCGTTGTCGACGTGGAGGCCTGACAGGAGTCCACGGGCGGAAGCGATCAGAAGTCAGAGATGTTCAATTTCACCATAGACGGGAAGTTCTTCGCGGAGCTGGGGGGCCTCGAGTGCGATGAGCGCGAGGGTGTAGCGCTTCGCGAGGTTAAATGCAGTCTCTCATCTACGGCAGGCACGCCGAGGTGAAGGACTGGCAGGCGCAGACGGAGGCCACGAGGAAGGCCATCTCAGAGAGTGCCGCCGAAAAGCGCGCCGAGGGGGCCACCGCGGCAAGAGCTGCGGCGCCACTGGCAGTGGCGGCAGGCTTGGCCGCGAGCCAGACCGCAGACGCTGGCGGCGAAGGCAGCGGCGCCGCGACGGACGGGTCCGCGGAGGCGGCTGCCAGGCGCTGTGCAGCCGCAGCAGAGGGCGTTTCGCAGGCCAGGTTCCCAGCGGCAGCATCGATCAGAGGGGCGGCGGCGCTGGCGCGGGCAGCCGGGGTGCCCGCCAGGACGTCGGAGATCCCCGCCGCGACCAGTCCGAGTCCTGCGACGACTGGTTCCAGCGGCTGCACTTCGGCGTTGCGGGCTGCTCGACGGCCCCAGGGGAGTCATTCTATTCCGGACAGCGACAGGAGCGCCATGTGGTTCTCCGACATCTCTTGAGCAGGCCGCAATCTTCGGACACTCGCTCGTCCAGGGGCCCTCCTTCCGAGTCTTCAGTTGCCTTGGGCCGTCGTTGCGCATTGGGATATCCTATATCCGCTTCCATAGTGCGACAGGGTTCGGTTCGCGAGATCGTGGGGCACGTGGTGACAGCACCGCCAGCTCCAGGAGCGCCTGCGCCGAGCTCGATCATGCGGCCGCAGGCCCGAGCGCCTGTCCGTGCGCTGTGGGCCTCACGGCCGTCCTCGGTGCGCCGTGACGCTCGCTTTGCGGGCTGCCCGGGAGCTTCTGGGGGGACAAGTTCGCAGCACCGAGTCACCGAGTCACCGAGTGCCCCGGGAGGTTCCGGAAGGCTCCAGGAGGCACCAGATGGCTCCAGGGGGCCCCAGGAGTTGGCAGGATGCCCAAGGAGGATGTAGTAGGAGGATGTTGCCTCCTCCCCTCAGGCCGCCTGAGGGGAGGAGGCAGCATGAGGAGGTGGAGGAAGAAGAGGAGGAGGCGGAGGCAGAAGTCGGAGGATGAGAAGAAGGATGATGATGGTGATGATGATGCTGATGATGATGCTGATGATTACGATGTTGAAGATGACGATGCTGATGATGATGCTTATGATGCTGATGATGATGCTGGTGATTATGATGCTGATTATGATGATGCTGCTGCTGATGATGATGATGCTGAGTATGATGAGGATGATGCTGATGATGATAATGGTGATGACGATGATGATGCTGATGATGCTGATGCTGCTGATGATTGATGCTGACGATGAATATGATGATGAGGAGGATGAGGAGGGGGATGAGGATGAGGATGATGAGGATGCAATTGAGGATGATGATGAGGATGATTATGATGATGATAATGATTATCATGATTATGATGCTGAGGATGATGATGCTGCTGAGTAAGATAACAATGATGGTGATGCTGATGATGCTGATGATGCTGATGATGATGCTGTTGATGATGATGATGATGATGATGATGAATCTGCTGTTGATGATGATGCGGAGTATGATGATGCTGCTGCTGATGATGATGACGATGATAATGCTGATGATGATGCTGCTGATGATGATGATGATGCTGATGATGATGATGATGATGATGCTGATAATGCTGATGCTGCCTAATGATGCTGCTGATGATGATGCTGCTGACGATGCGGCTGCTGCTTATGAGGAGGATGATGCTGCTGATGAGGAGGAGGATGAGGATGAGGATGACGATGAGGATGAGGATGATGAGAATGAGGATGAGGATGAGGATGATGCTGATGATGATGATGCTGATGCTGATTATGATGATGCTGCTGATGACGATGCTGCTGATTATGATGACGATGATGCTGATGCTGCTGCTGATGATGCTGATGATGATGCTGATGATGATGCTGAGTATGATGATGATGGTGATGCTGCTGCTGACGATGATGATGCTGATGCTGATGATGATGCTAATGATGATGAGGATGATGGCGATGATGATGATCATGAAGCTGCTGCGGCTGATGATGATGATACTGTTGCTTATGATTCTGATTATGAGCATGATCGTGATGATGATGCTGATGCTGCTGCTGCTGATGATGCTGATGCTGCTGCTGATGCTGATTATGATTATGATGATGATGCTGCTGCTGCTGATGATGATGATGATGATGATGATGATGATGCTGACGCTAATGATGATGATGCTGATGATGATGATGATGATGATGCTGATGATGATGATGATGATAACGACCATGATGATGATGATGATGATGATGATGATGATGATGATGCTGATGATGATGATCATGAAGCTGATGATGAGGAGGAGGAGGATGCTGATGATGATGCTGATGATGACGAGGATGATGCTGCTGATGATGATGACGATGATGATGATGATGATGATGATGATGATGATGATGATGATGATGATGATGATGATGATGATGATGATGATGATGATGATGATGAGGATGAGGATGAGGATGAGGATGATGATGATGATGATGATGATGATGATGATGATGATGATGAGGATGAGGATGATGATGAGGATGATGATGATGATGATGATGATGATGCTGATGCTGCTGCTGCTGCTGATGATGATGATGATGATGAGATGAGGATGATGATGATGATGATGATGATGATCATGATGATCATGATGATGATGATGATGATGATGATGATGATGATGATGATGATGATGATGATGATGATGGTGGTGGTGGTGGTGGTGGTGGTGGTGGGGTGGTCGTGATGATGATGATGATGATGATGATGATGATGATGATGATGATGATGATGATGATGATGATGAGGAGGAGGAGGAGGAGGAGGAGGAGGAGGAAGAGAGAGGTGGAGGATGATGATGATGATGATGATGAGTGATAGGAGGAGGGAGAGGTGAGGAGGAGGAGGGAAGGGGGGAGGAGGAGGAGAGGAGGAGGAGGAGGAGGAGGAGGAGGAGGAGGAGGAGGAGGAGGAGGAGGAGGAGGAGGAGGAGGAGGAGGAGAGAGGGGGAGACGGCAGGAGGCAGGAGGAGGAGGAGGAGGGGGTATGGGAGCAGGAGGCATGGGAGGAGGAGGAGGAGGAGGAGGAGGAGGAGGAGGAGGAGGAGGAGGAGGAGGACGAGGCAGGATGGGGGTAGGAGGAGGGAGCATGAGGAGAGAGCAGGGGGCAGGAGGGGCAGCAGCAGGGAGCTGAGCATATTCTCAGGTGGGGTCCTACCGTCGGAGTGATTTTTGCAAGACGTTGGATGCCTGGAGAGGAGGCCTTTCCCCTGGTTCCGTGTCCGATCTATACAGCTCGCCAGAGCAATTTAGCCGCGCAACACCGCGCCCTTCACTGACAGGTGCTGTGCGATGCAGGTGTCCAAGTTGTTTCACAGAGGCTCCTAAACTCTAGACGCTGAAATCAGTATCGCTTTGGGTTCGGGTTTTCGGGCCGTAGATTTATGTCGTGGAACCAGATTGTGGCCTAGGCCGTGGCCAGAAGAGCCCCTTCGTTCCTCATTCTGTCTTCCTTCTGGTAGCACGATGATTGTATGGATCGGACACGTGACCTCAGGGGCAACGATAGGCAGGGATAGGCATAGGGGTGGATGCATCGACCACCAACCGCCCATCGATCGCCGATAGGGGTCTGATAGCCTCACCCCGCCCAGGAACGTGCGGATTTGCTATCGGGGGCCTATCGCCGATCGATCGGCGATGTATCGCCGATTCCAGGTCGATGTTCCCCCCCTTCAGTCAATCCGCGTAGTAAAGATGATCGACTTCCCAAGTGTACTCTTGCATCCTTGCCTCTTCGGTCATCATCGGTCCATCCTCAACCGCTTTCGATGGCCAGCCCCGCTCGAAGAGCCTCGGCACGGGCGTCCAAGGCCCCTGCATCCTTGCCGCGCATCCCTCCTACACGGGTAGGCCGTATGCCAGGCCCCCCGCCCTATCGCTGTCCCTCGTGACCCTGGACCCCTCGCCCCCCCAGGCACGGGACGGCGCCGGGGCGGCCTCCCCGATGGGCCCGCCCGCGGCGGCGGCCCCGCCCTGCGGCGGCCCGACCAGCCCTGCGGCCGCCTCGAGCCGGGCCCGCCGCCGCCCTCGCGGCCGCCGCCTTCGTTTTCTCTTTGATTCCGCCGTGAGCTCCCCGACCTGGGGTCCTCGTGGGCGGGGTCGGAGGAGCGCTCCGCCTCGCCGATGAATCGGCGGCAGCGCCTCTCGATTCGGAGCCCCATTCCCTGTCCCGGCGTCGCCGGTGCACCGCCGAGGCATCGGCGAGGCGGTGCCATCCTCCGACCTCATCAGCTCCGGCCCCGCCCGGGCAGCCTCCGTTTTTCTCCGTGGCCGCGGCGTCTTCGGCGGCCGCCGTCGCCGTCGCCGCCGGCACCGCTTCGGCGTTCGAGGCTCGATGGGGTGATGGGTCGAGGCTTTTGATCGTTGCCTGGCCGTCCTCCCGCGTGGCCACGGCGGCGTCTTCGCGGCCGCCGGCGTCGTCGTCGTCGTCGCCGCCGTCACCGGTTCGGCGTTCGAGGCTCGAGGTTTGCGGCTCGTCGCCTGGGCGTCCTCCCGCGTGGCCACGGCCAGGCCCGCCTCAAGATTTCTGGCCGGAGCGCACCCCATGACAGGTCTGGGGAACCGTCGCCGCCGTCGTCGTCGTTGTCGTCGCCGCCGCCGCCGCCGTCGTCGTCGTCGTCGTCGTCGTCGTCGTCGTCGTCGTCGTCGTCGTCGTCGTCGTCCTCCGTTGTCGTCGTCGTCGTTGTCGTTCTCGGCGTCCTCGGCGTCGGCGTCGTCGTCGTCGTCGTCCTCCCTCGTGATCTTCGTCGTCGTGGTCGTCGTCGTCGTCGTCCGTCGTCGTCGTCGTCGTCGTCGTCGTCGTCGTCGTCGTCGTCGGCGTCCGTCGCCGGCGTCGTCGCCGTCGTCGTCGTTGTCGTCGTCCTCCCTCGTCATCTTCGTCGTCGTCGTGGTCGTCGTCCATCGTCGTCGTCGTCGTCCGTCGCCGTCGTCGTGGTCGTCGTCTTCGCCGCCGTCGTCGTCGTCTACAGTCGTCGGGCCCCAGAGTCCCTGGGTTTTGGCTCCTGTTTGGACGGTCGGTTGCAGGAGCCGCCGGTTCACGGTTACCAGTTCGGTTTAAACCCTTCTTGCAGGGCGGAGAGGGAAGATTGAGGTGTAGGAGGATGAGGAGGATGTCGGAAGATGTGTTGGAAGGTTTTCTGAGGTCGCCCGAGGTCCAAGGCCTCAGGATTTCCAGCATGCGGCTACCGCAGGTTCAGTAACGCCTGGCCGTTTCCAGGGAGCCGCACTGGAGCCGCCCCTGGGCCTCGGGGTGAGGAGCAGGAACCAGCAGGTCACTCTTTCGATGGATGCCAGAGGGGGGGCGCAGGCCGACGCTGCAGGGGCGAAGCTGAACAGCTGGTGCTGTTCTTCGCGCGATGCGCGAGCCACCCCGCCTCGCCAGGAGGAGGAGGAGGCAGATGATGAGATGAGGAATGGCGGGAGGCGGGATGGTGATGATGATGATGATGATGATGATGATGATGATGATGATGATGATGATGATGATGATGATGATGATGATGATGATGATGATGATGATGATGATGATGACGACGGTGACGATGGTGGCGATGGCGACGGTGGCGACGGCTGTGACGACGGTGATAATGACGGCCGATGCTGATGGTGCTGCTGCCGATGATGAGAGTGCGAACGATGCTGCTGATGGTGCTGACTTTGGCCACTCTCATGGATACGATGGTGAGCATGATGGTTATGATGATAATGAGGATGATGTTGATGATAATGGTGTTGATGATGTTGCTGGTGAGGGCGATGACGATGACGCAGGCCTCAACGATGCCGATGACGAGGTTATCAGGCTACCTTCGACTAGAGCTGTCGAACACTCCATGGCAGCAGCTTCAGTCATGACACATCGGATGACGCCGAGTTCGTACCTGATCAATTGATCACCGAACGCGTTCCACCACTCGCAAACTGCGAGGGGGAGGGAAGGATGGGAAGAGGAGTAGGCACTTCCCGTTCTTGTCCAGTCAGGTTTGAAAGGAGGAGGAGGAGGAGGAGGAGGAGGAGGAGGAGGAGGAGGAGGAGGAGGAGGAGGAGGAGGAGGAGGAGGAGGAGGAGGAGGAGGAGGAGCAGAAGGGGGGGCAGCACCAGGAGGGAGGCCCGGCCCCGCCCCCCCCCGCCCCCCACGAGCGGCAGAATTCCGATGCGACGCCGCACTCGAACGAGGAGACCAGCTGGCCCCGCCTCCCCGCCGCGCGCGCTGCACCGGGCCTCTCCGCTCATCATCGGTCCGTGCCTGTCCATCGGCGGCGAGCGACGGGGTGAAGTGAGAAGGAACAGGCCGTCTCAGAAGGCGGCGGGGCTTCTCCGAAGCCCTCGGGCCTTCTGAGAAGTTTTCGGTGTCTTCGGGGCAGGCTAAGAAAACTTGGTTTGAGGATCGTTTGGGCCCCCTGCGTTTTTAAGAAAAACGAAATGGCGTATTCCACCTCAGGTTCCAGTTCGGTTTCGGGCTCCCGCGATTTTCAGCTTTTGTCCAGAGAGCCTCTCTGTCACCTCCTCCCTCTGTAGCATAAGGACGGAGGTGAGTGCATCCCTGCACTCCCGAGCCTGAGAGGGCGCGCCCCTTCTCACTTCCCCCGCGAGCTCGCCGCCGCTCATCATCGGTCGGCGCCCGTCCCGGCGACCGAGTGCCAGCGGGCTCTGGGACGAGGGGGGGGGCTTCCTCCTCGTAGTCCTCCTCTGTCCTCCCGCGGTGGCTGTGACCCTGGCCTGTGCCGCTCCGCAGCGCGTGCAGTTTCCCCCCCCCCCCCCCCCCCTCCCCAACGCGGGTCCAGCGCCCATGGGGCCTGAGTGTGATGGCTTGTTCACGCCGAGACCCGCTTCCCCGCACTTCAGACACTCCAACAACTGCAGCTACGATGCCGTGGCCCCATGAGAGACCCGGCCGGCAGCGAGCCTAGCTGAACCGTGGCAGCATTACAGGCGTTCCTCCTCGTTTTCCCCTGGATCTCCTTCACCCTGTCTTATCCGCCTCCCTGTCGTCCTCCTGTTCTTTCTTTTCTTCATCTCCCTACGAGCCCAGTGGACAAAGCGGCGCTCCCCGTTCTTGTCCATTCAGGTTTGAGGAGGAGGAGGAGGAGGAGGAGGAGGAGGAGGAGGAGGAGGAGGAGGAGGAGGAGGAGGAGGAGGAGGAGGAGGAGGAGGAGGAGGAGGAGGGCGTGACCTCCCGAGCTTTCTTGGCGAGGTCAGGCCTCAGGCGTTGCGATCCCCCCCCGCCAGCGCGATGGAGTGCGGACGCGCGCGCGTCGCCACGTTTCCCTCGAAGAGAAGGCGCCGTCACAGTTAGGAGAATTCTTGGCATCGGCACTTTCGACAGCGCCGCGGTCAGGCGCGCATTCTTCCAACAGTAGTGGCAGTTCAGCAATTGTTAGCACAGAACACAGTTTCGATTTTCAGCTATGTGGAAGTGCAGGCGGCGCGGTACACAGAATAAGAACAACGTCTGGGAGTGTGCGCGCGGCAACAGATGGAAAACTAGGCTTCACCAGCATCGAGATCGTGAGAGTAGTCAGCCCCCTCGTCGGACAAATCGGGGTAAGAAGATCGGCGACACCACCCGCTCGGTCCCCATAGCCACCCCAGAGGAGGCCTACGTGCACGAGGTTTGGGAGAAGCCACCAGAGGACCCCGAGGAGCTCGCGCATGATAGACGCGAGGCCCATGCTAAGATCCAGAAGCTAGGTAATCTCTACTATGCGAGCATCGAGGCCCACCGAGTCGACACAGGAATGGCAGTAGAGGTCGGCGTCTTGAATTTCATGATGTCAGCCAGCCACGGACTTGGAAAGCAGGTAATCGAGCTCAAAACCAAGTTTATCAACGCCCGACAAGCTGAGGAACGTCCAGAAACGAATCGACGATCTTTGTGAAGAGGAGGGCGAGCTGCAAAACACCAGTTGTAACATCGACATGCCAGTCGACCAGTTCCAGCGGGAGGCCCAGGACGGTTGGGACATGGAGATGGGCCCCCCTCAAGGCGAGACGCCCGTCCAGCGAGCGCCTGCCGATCGTCCTGAGCAGAAAGATCGCAGGGGAAGCATGGTGCCAGGCCCTCCGCCTGCGCCCGCTGCCTCACCGGCGGCCGCCACTCCTCGCGGCGCCAGCTCCCAGGACAGCCGAGGCCAATAATTGTATCAGCACTTCGCAACGATCAGTGACTCAATCAAAGCAGATTCGGGTCGCCATATGTCGAGCGAGCAGGTGATGCAGCGCGTGATGACAGGTCACAACATCAGTAAATATCACTTGCAGAGCTTGGTCGCGCAGAACGGTGGAGTCTATTGTGCCGAGGCAGCGGGCGTAGACCCGCGCGTCGTGGAGCCTGCCAGATCCAGCCTCATCCAGAACGAGGCGGGGTTTCAGCAGCCTGGCCAGAGGGGAAGGCGCGCCCAGCCGGCCACAAGGCGACCCCGCAGCGCCAAGACATGTCCGTGATCAATGGCATGGCGGCCAGCATCAACCCGCGCCGCAGCGCGCCGCCAGGCTACGTGGGCCCGCGTCGCCAGGCCGATCGTATTCCGTCGACGCCAGGAACGCGCGCCAGCCGGCCCCCGCCGCCACCGCCGCAGCCGCCACCGCCGGCGACGACGCGGGCTCAGGCGACGGCGCCGACGCCGATCAGCGGCGCGGAGACGCCTATCTCGAGGGGCAGCAGATGGCAGCAGCGCCGATTGTGGCCACGCCGCACGCGCGCCCAGGATTTGGCTTCCAGAGGCTTTCCAGAAGGAGAAGGTTCCAGGCGCTCCACTCGGGGATGCGCCGTCTTTCGCCGTTCCAGCAGATGCAGGAGGTGAATCAACAGGGCCCCCCCCGATGAAATCGCGTACGCTGTTGGCGCCGACGCAGCCCATGGGCGTAGAGGAGAGCGCCCCAGGCCTGAAGCATCTCTTCGAGCACGTCCAGCAGGAGCCGATCGTGCTGGGCCAGGGCAGCGCCCCGAACGCCCGGCCGTCGCCGTTGCCTCCGTCGCAGCCAGAGCTGCACCCGCCGCCGTGGGCGGCAGGAGTGTCGGGGGCAGATGCGGCGGCGAAGCGTGCAGCGATGCATCATCAGCTAGCGGGTGCAGCGTCATTTCCTTTCGCGGCGGACCCAGCGGAACCCGCAGCGCCGACCCAAGCGCGAGTGGGAGATCCGCGCAGAGATGTCACCGCCGAGGAGAGGGAACGCACGTGCCAGTGCTGCGAGGACGACCTCTGGGACTAGTGAGCGCCGCCTGAGGTGATGACGAAATATGCAGATACTCTCCTGGGGAAGTACCTGGTGCTCATCGTGCAGTGGCGCAGCTGCGGCCTGGGTATGCGCCAACATCCAGCATCTTACGTGATCGACGCTGTGACAATCTGCTGAACTTTCGTAATGGTGCTTGGGAGGTGCCGCCTATTCAAAATGCAGAGTCTCTCGCGCAGTCGTCGCGGAGTTCTACGGGATACTGCCTGCGTGGCGCGTGGCGCCCAGAGGCACTTTGCTGCTTTCCTGAGCGACGGCGGCGTGGTCAGCAGCGTGAACCGCCAGTGCATCCTCAGGTGCCCTCTGATAGGTTGTCTCTCATGCAGTCTCTTGGGATTGATTGCAGCTCTACTTCGTCTCCTGGGACTTTGCTGTCCTTTATCTCCGGAGAGCGAAGATGGGCCAATTTTCTCGCGGCAGGGCGTCTGGGCACAAATTGCTGCTCTGCCTGCTTCCCTCGTCAGCCAAGGGCCAGAGCTGGCAGGAGGGGATGTCGCTTTTCGATTGAGCGAGGTCGAGGTGCCCAGGGCCGCAGGACCTCCGATCTTCCCTCCTCTCCGTCGGCGCTTGAAGGGCATGCGGCCGCCAGTGCCGCCGCATGTGGGCCCCCCTCGGCATCCCTGGGCCCCGCTCGAGAGGCGCGTTCTCGCTTTCGAGCTGGCCGTGCCATCGGGTGTAGACGACGATGTTTTGGATCTATGTGTTACCTTCAGGGGCCTCCTCAGGACCGGCCGTCTCCATGTTTTAGGATTCGGCGTGCCGATCGGCTGCAGTCAGTCTTGGGTGGCCCTCGAGACTGGCTCGCGCCCAGGGAGAATGCGGACGGTATCAAGTTGCGCCCGTTCGGCACAGCTTGCGATCGGCATCGCTGCAACTGTCGCGCAGCAGGCTGTCGAGCTTCACCTGTGCTGTGATGTCTCTTTTCAAGGCGACGTTCCCGGCGGTGCCGGGGGATCCGTCGCCGCAGCACTTGACAATAATGGATGCTTGTTGCCTGGGCTGAACATGTCGGCCGCTGTCTCGACCGACCTCGCCTGTTCAGCAGATGGTGTCGCGAGTTCTACCGTGGAGATGCTGGGTGTTCTCTGGTCTGCTCCTTCCTTTCCAGCATGCGACTGCCCTCGGCTTGAGGCTTCTCGCTCGGCGCCGCCGACTATGCGCGCATTTCGTGACAGTAAGTCTGCCGTGGGAATTGCTGTGGGCCAGGTCGTTATTCATTCCTGCGTTTTCGTTGCCGACCTTACCTGCGTTGTCGATCGATGGGTTCGTTGTCAGTATGGGGTGGAGCTCCGGCGCGTCGAGGGTCGCTCGCAGAACCTATGGAGTGAGTTTGCAGATGCGGGCGCGAAAGACATCGGGGTCGTCGGCTCGGTTGCCCCGGAGGCCCTCCAGCAAGCTTCTGTATGATGATCAAGCCCTAGATTGGACGTGTATGTTACAGACCTTCATGACGAACGCGTGGACTATCCAATCGACCCCGACCAGCAGTGGATGAGGTCCCAGGCCCCAGTGTGTTGATAAACGATTTGTTTAGACTACGACTGACTCCGCCTCCAAGCGCATGGCCCACGCGAACACTAGGGTAGTTGCGCATAATGCACAAACAGCACGCGATGCAGAGGCGACCCGATCGAGGTCCACGAAAGTTGCAGGTGAGAGCGGTCGACAGCAATTTCTGGAAGCTAACATCATCACAGCTGGCGTCGAGGACAGCAGGGGCCCCGAAGGCGTCCCAGACTCCATGGGCTACGCGATTGATTTACCAGGTTGTTTTGGGGATGAATCTTGCGGTTGAGCGGTGGGTCTCCAGGGGGCTCCAGCATGGCGCCATGGCGGAGGCCCCCGCGCACTTCGCGCGCGAGCATGTCACGCCGGTGTATCAGAGGCCTCGTCGCCTCATTGTATTGTCAGATGTCCGCTTTCACCTGCGTGATCATGGTTGTGCGCGCGT